TTCGAGGAGTAACACCATGCTCTTTATAATGCTTAATAAGAGCATCTAGCTTGACCTGGCCAATGCCATGGAGATATTTAAACGTACCCCTGCATATTTTCTCCCCATGGTGAAAGAAATCTGTTTTTTGGGACATCCGAACTGTCTGTTCTTTTTTATGGGTGCAGGATGTTAGCTGAGTAAGATGCATTCCACACGAGAGTTTAGCTAGAATGGCGATATCTAGCTCTTCCCTTGTCATTTCCAGGAAACAGTAACGAATCATGTGCAGCTCCTCTTGCATGAAACGTGTTGAACATGGATGACCATTGTTGTATTTGCATGCACATACAAACTCTTGCACATCACCATTATCTTCTTGAAGTGGAACTGGTGGTAGTATATCTGCTACATCTTCAATAATGGATATGGGATGGTCATCATCTGAAATGAGGAAGAATGAATAACTGTAAGACATATGTATTATATAAAAAAGGCTGAACTACATTATTACTAATAATCAACATTAACAATCCATCACACAAGTATTTCACCATTGCAATACGTCTATGCCCATAAGACATAGGCTACTACTATAGTAGTACTACTATTATTACTCAAAATCATCATCATCATCATCATCATCATCATCATGATTAGATTATGTGGTTGACGAGGTGCGACCAAAACGTTATCATTATGTTAAGGTGTAGCCTACTATTAAAAAAAATGAACATGTTACGTGCAGGCTTGAACAGCACGCTGACAAGAAGCAATCGGATCTGGCTCAATCCAACATCTCTCTCCCGAAATAAGATTTATATGTCTTACGTTTAAATTGCAAAATATGTCACAGAGTGAAGAAACCGTCTTCACCATCTGTAATGTAATCTACTACAGCCTTGAATGTCACTAGCATGGAGCAATCATGAACTGGGGCGGACTGGGACAATAATTCAGGCCACCACCACCTGATTAACGCAAAACACCAAGAGTGAGTTAGGTTGGGCGCCTACTGATGTAAGAGTGTAAAATAATAGAGCAAAGGCTCCACATGCGCGCACACACAGCTTTTTCTGTTTCTTTCCCCTACAAAATAAATGTTTCTGTTCACTAATCGATTATTTTTATATGCATTGGTTATGTTCATATAACATCAAATATGTTCTTAATCTCAGTGGGATTTTACCTGGTTAAATAAAGGTTAAATGAAATAATGTAATACAAGGATTTCAATATTCATATAATTTATTATGTTGTGCCTATGTTAGTTAACCATATTCTAAAATTTGCACTTACATTTGTTTTATTTAGTCAGTTTTAGCCCCATCAGCTTCCACAAAGTGGAACTAACCTCCTCATTAAGCTAGTGGTGCTGGATAGGCTCTGGTTGTGCCAAACATGTCAGTTATTTTACAGCACTTCGCTGATCTGTGGCCAGTGCTTTTAGCTTTTTAAGCCTCTCCCTCTCTGCTCCACCTTTCCTCTTGGGCTGTCGATCTCGCTCCATTTTTCAAGCATGTAGAACTACAGGTGGGGGGGGGCAGGCGTGCAACTTGGTGTGTGTCTGCCTGCAGTGCTGTGACAGAGAGGAGGGGGTGTGTTTGTGTCCAACGTTGCTGCTCAGTCTGTGTGAGCTTCAGCGAGGCCATGGATGTTTTAATCGTAACGTTATCCTTGTAGGTTTTTGATAACAAGGCTAGTCTTACACATTGGTCATTTAAAATAGCAAGTGCACCTTGTCTCTTACATTAAGAATAGCATGGCTAGTTTACCTTCATCGGACTCCTCTTGTTCGGTAAATTCATTATAATCCGATCCTTCATCATCTCTTGGATCTCTGGATGTGAAATAATCCATGATCACGTCGTTCAGGGCATTGGCATCACCAGGTTTAGCAAATTGAGATGTGCAGCTTCATTTAAGTGAGCAGCTACCTTAGACTCCCTTCTCTTGAGCGCCGCCATCTCTGTAGACTCTCACATCTTCACGTAACGTTAACATTAGGTTTATCAAACATTGTTACAATATATATCTGGCGGGAAAATGTGCATTGATATGATATGACTTCATTCATGTGGTTTAGGGCTTTGATTGGTGAACCGTCTTTGTAGTGCTTATAGCCTAGTCAAAGCACGTTATGGGAGATTTTTATGCACCTCCGCCGTTCGCGGTTTCAAATGTAGGATCATCTTTCAGACAGCTTGGCCAATATAAATTAATTTTTAATGTATAAAACTAGCGAATTTCACATTTTTAGGAATTATAGACAAGATGTTATACAATAATAATTTAATGAAAACCCAATTTTGCCAAAGGAATGACAATCGACCTATTTTTACTATTTCCTCGAAACGTGCCAGTGCGACATCTGGCGGGTTTTCCCAGATCGCATCACATATGAGCAATCCCAGAGAGAAGGGATGTGCAGCGAATGTGGGACCAATCATGGCCCAATTAGAAACCTGAAACCCCCAACGAATACCGAAGCTGACTTGTAAAGTACCTTCAGTAGATCTGCTAGTGGATGTGAATACTGCACTAAGAACAATCCCTACGGGAACCACAGTACAGCAACAGTAATCCTAAGAATGCTTGGCTACAGGATGGGCTCAAATCATAACAGGCAGCATCCACTGTGGAGAATACGTTTAGAGGCCAAGATAAGGGCAACACGGAGAGAAGTTAGCCAGCTAGCATGGTGAATAAAGGGGCACCCAGAAAATACACCAAGCTCTCCATACCTGAAGCACTCGAAACTGCCAAACAGAGACTAACAGCACTGGCCACCTGGTTGAAGAGATACACCAAGGAGGCAGAGGCCAGGAGAATAAACAAGCTGTTCTCCACTGAACCAGCCAAGGTGTACTCTCAGTGGCAGGGAGGAAATAACAACACCATGGGGTTTGGAAGAATACTGGAAGGCCATATGGGAAAAAGAGGCATCACACAACCCAGATGCCCAATGGCTAGTGGACCTAAGAGCAGACCACAGCAACCTCCCAGAACAAGACCAACCTGTGCACCGCCTGGATCGACTACAAGAAAGCTTACGACTCAATGCCCCACACGTGGATACTGGAATGTCTGGAACTGTATAAGATCAACAGGAACTTAAGGGCCTTCATCCAGAACTCGATGGGAATGTGGAAGACAACCCTAGAAGCCGACTCAAAGCCAATTGCCCAAGTCAACATCAAATGCGGCATATACCAAGAAGATGCGCTATCACCACTGCTGTTCTGCATAGGCCTGAACCCCCTCAGTCAGATCATCACAAAGAGTGGTTACGGGTACCAATTCCGAAGTGGAGCAACAATTAGCCACCTGCTCTACATGGATGACATTAAACTGTATGCCAGGAATGAGCGAGAAATCGACTCGGATCTACAGCAACGACATAGGGATGTCATTCGGATTGGACAAGTGCGGCCGGATGGTCTCAAAGAGAGGCAAGATGATCAGAACTGAAGGGGTTGACCTACCAGAGGGCAACATAGGTGATATCCAAGACAGCTACAAGTACCTTGGTATCCCACAGGCTAATGGAAACCATGAGGAAGCCGCAAGGAAGTCAACCACAACCTCCAGAGAGTAAGGCAGGTCCTGAAAAGTCAGCTGAATGGCAGGAACAAGATCAAAGCCATCAACATGTATGCACTACCAGTCATCAGATACCCTGCTGGGATCATAAGCTGGCCAAAGGAGGAGATAGAAGCTACAGATATCAAGACAAGAAAGCTCCTCACCATACACGGAGGGTTTCACCCCAAATCCAGCACCCTGAGACTGTACGCTAAGCGGAAAGAGGGAGGCCGAGGACTAGTGAGCATCAAGGCCGCTATCCAGGATGAAACATCAAAAATCCAAGAGTACATCAGAAAAATGGCCACCAAGGATGAACTGCTAAGTGAATGTCTCAGGCAACAGAAACCCGATAAGAGTGCAGAAGAAGAAGAGGAGCAGACAACCTGGAGGGACAAGCCCCTACATGGCATGTACCACCGCCAAACTGAAGAAGTGGCTGATATCGAGAAGACCTACCAATGGCTGGAAAAGGCTGGACTCAGAGACAGCACAGAGGCACTGATCATGGCAGCACAAGAACAGGCCCTAGGTACAAGAGCCATAGAGGCCAAGATCTACAAGAGTAGATCTGACCCAAGGTGCAGACTATGAAAAGATGCCCCTGAGACAGTCCAGCACATAGTAGCAGGGTGTAAGATGCTAGCCGGGTCAGTGTACATGGAGAGACACAACCAAGTGGCTGGAATAGTGTACAGGAACATCTGTACCCAGTATGGAATAGAAGTACCCAAATCCCAATGGGCCGAACCACAGAAGGTGGCTGAGAACAACAGGGCCAAGGTGCTGTGGGACTTCAGCTTCCAGACTGACAAACAGGTCCTGGCCAACCAACCGGACATAGTGGTGGTAGACAAGGAGCAGAAGAAAGCGGTGCTGATAGCTGTGGCCATACAGACGCCAACATCAGAAAGAAGGAACACGAAAAGGTTGAAAAGTACCAAGGGTTGAAAGAACAGCTGGAGCAGATGTGGAAGGTCAAGGCGAGCGTGATCCCCGTGGTAGTAGGAGCACTCGGGGCAGTGACCCCCAAACTGGGGGAGTGGCTCCAACAGATCCCAGGAACAACATCAGAACCCTCAGTCCAGAAGAGCGCAGTCCTAGAAACAGCTAGATACTGCGCAGAACCCTCAAACTCCCAGACCTCTGGTAGAGGACCCGAGCTTGAGGATGACACAGATACCACCCCAAGAGATATATATATATATCTATATATATATATAGATATATATATAAGATATAGATATAATATCTATATATATATAGATATATAAATAATATGAAAATCAAAGCTTCATTTAAACCCAAACAAATAATAATCTGTTGGCCACGTTCTAGGTCTAAATGTTAGTAACGTTAATAAAGTGTTCCCTTCAGTTTCTCACTGGAAATTTGATTGAAAGTGTTTTTGGTGAGTCGGAGTGAAAACGAGTCAG